GGGAAGGTCATTGCTGTGTGTGAGTGGAGAACTGTTTGCCGGGCACAGCCACAGAAAGCCTCTGCCTATCACACGTGGCAAGGTGAGAGACAAATAATATAAGCTCCTTTCACCTTTCAAAAGAACCTTGTGATTGCTTTTTTAGCTAGATTATTCCACAGCCTTTGTACTCCTAAGGATTGCTTTTGTAATGAGGCAAGAAAGGTCAAAACAAATTAATAGCCAAGATAACAGTTATCAGTCTGATATAAATAAAGCAGCTTATAACGCTTGCAATACGCCACAATCTGCAACAGATAAAGGAATCTAAAGCCAAAGGAGGGTTCAAAAGGAAGCCGATATTGGGAATATCTATGCTCCAAGTTCTCTTTTTAAGAAGATGAGTGAGCCACAGTTGCTGTCTGCAGTTGTTGCTGCTGAAGCCAGTGTTGCTGCTGAAGCTCAGAGTAAGGGTATCACTCACCCGGCACGGCTCAGCCATGGCTCAGATGTGATCCCACAGGCCTATGTGCATGTCCTCATACAACATGGACCACGTTTTTATCCTGTAAGTGATACCACAGTGCCAGCAAACACTGGATAAGAGGTACACTACAAAGCTCTCCCTTGCCTGCACTGTTGCTTTCCTCTTCCTCCCAAGTCCCTGCTGTATCTTAACTCTGCAGACAGCTACATCACTTGTTTGCCTTTCTGACCCTCCAGACACCCAGATTCCCGTTTGTGAGTCTCCCAAAATGTCAACGTGGTCCTACCTTATGTGTTTGTGACCCCAAAATGATTTTATAAGTTCTGCCTAAATTCCCTCAGGAACCTCTCTCAGTAAGGTACAGATCACGTGTGTAGTAAGGTATGTGCCATGCACAGAGACCCACACCCCCCTAAGCCTCTTGAGAGGTGCCTCTGGAGCTTGGATATGGAGAAGCTGAAGGCAACAGCCGAACCTCTGTCAGGGGTGAGTTTCAGGTACAAGCCTGCTCTAAAAAATGCTATCCCAGGTGATGGCTTTTCATATTAATCATTTTCAGGATCCTAATTTCCTCCATGAATGCCATACACGTTTCAGGAGCTAAAATTTGCATTCCAAGCAAGAAGCCAGACAACCAGAAATGTAATTGCTACAGGACCTGATTTCCATTGCTGAAGTTCCTCATGGGAGCTTGGTCTCACAAGCCATGCTTTAGCGAAAGGACTCTGAAGTGCTGGTGTCATTGCTATCACCTTTGCAAAACCTTAGGCCTCCACCACTCCTATGAGTTTTAAAACCATCTAGCAAAATCAGTGATGTACATGTACCAGCATAACTTCTGCTCTAATTGGTTTAGTTTGTTTCCATACAGATACTAAATCTCTTTCATAATCACCTCTCTTCACTGACGAATATTTTTCCACAGTAAATCATACATTCTCAGCTGTACACAATTCCAGGCTCGTCTTAGACATGCTGGATTGGGTTTTTTCCTTGTATTTGAGTCCTGAGCTTTAGGATCATTAAACATTTCCAGTGACCACATGATGCCTTTTTTTTTTTTTTAAACAGATAATTTATTTGCAACAGTAATGTGAGATAAAGTAGAATACAAGTGGGAACCAGATAATCATGTATTATTTTATAATGTATATTTCAGTAGATTATTCCAAATGTTACATATGGAAATTTTAAGTCCTATAACATTAGTTCTGATACCATGGTGACTAAGCATTTCAACAATAAGCAGTCTTGTGGAAAAATTCATGTACACAGTTTACTTTACCTCATTTGTCCTGAATTACAGACTGCATTCAGTATGATTTAGATCATGTAAGTGGGTAACAAATAGTTCAGTCTATATTTGCATCTTGTCTATTTAGTAAGTCCTTGAGAAACTCAGATACACACAGTTTGATTTGAGATACAAAAAATTGTGCACGGTGTTTTCATCTCTCACCTCGGAAAGAAAGGTTCACAATGTAAATTCTCACATATTTTATTTAGATTAAAAATACTGGATGGTGTATAATATCCTGAATGTGTTACACAGATTGCAGGTAAAATGTTGCAGAGCACAGCAGCGACTGCTCTGCCACCAAGCACTAGAAAGGTGGAAATTTGAAGGCCATCTAGCTTTCTAAGCAGATACTATGGCAATTATTAATGATCAGAAATAAAACACATTTTGAAAAGCTCATATGCAAATACACGTGACAAGCCTAAACACTGCATGAGATGAATCTCACTCCTGCTTCCACTGAATGATTGGAATACAGCTCCCAAATACTTCAACAGGAGAAGGGTTATGATGACAACTCAAATGCTGCAGGGTTTCTTCCCCCCCGCCCCCCGAAAATAGTTAGAATTTGGCTGATAAACTCTTCAGAGTTCATGCAACCCAAAACGTATTTGTGTGCCTCAGGGTAACCACCCTTAGCTTCCATCCTTCCTTCTCCGAAATCCAGTGTTTAAATATTTTGAATGTGTTTGTTAAGGTGCAAATATAGCGTTGGAAATAATCGTGCCATCATGGAGGAGTAAGAGATTCGTCCATGTGTTTTTTTAGGACCCCAGAATGACGACATGCCTGGCAGACTTCCTATGATACCCATCCATCATCATAAACAAAAGACATTTACTGTTTCCCACCCCAACCAATAAATACTTTAAGAGGACACCACATTATGTTATGAGGTGCAATTTAAGAGCTGAAGGCCTTTAGAACATAAATCTCAAACAGTATTAAAGTACATATTTTAAAATCATATTAAGGCAGAAGTATTTCTAATCCATAAAAAGGTCACGCTAATCTATTATTTAACCAAATGTGACTATCGTGGAGTGATGATACCACTGCAAAACAACTTAGAGAAGCACACAACCCTGCAGGTCAAAGCTAAATCAAGTCCTAAGGGATGCCGAAGAGTGATGTTCCTTACACGGATGGTGATCTCTTGTAGTGGGGCAGAACCGGCTGTGATGACAGCCTCTCCTTGGGATTTACTTTAGGGTGGGTCATAAACCTCAGGTCGAATGCATCTCCTTCCAGAATTAAGTATCTTGCTGAAAGACTCTGCTCTTGGAAAAAACACAGTGAAGTGCAAGAGAGAAGCCATGAGGCCCCAAAAAAAGCTCAGGATCATTTCCACTGTAGTCAGTGACAAACTCTTCCATGAGTCTTGTTCTGTGGGAGCAGGAGCAGACCTACTGTTTCTTGCTTTCCTACTGATGCCCAATGGCACGGCAACAAGCTTTGCTGTCTAGTGGTCTCTTTATTTCAGCTTCCCTTCTTTCCCCTAATCTTTTCAGGAGCCTCAGTATCTTATCTCCGATACTCTCTTTGAGCGAGGAGTTCTCCTAGGACTGGTTCTGAGTGTTTGCCACACTTCATTAATAAAGCGTTTCAAGGAAAATATCCTCCTAACTGAGGTGGCTGGTGCCACGCTTGTGTTATGCTCACCTTGGCAGCAGAATCGGGCTGGCTGAGGAAAATGAAGCCATTTGTGTAAAGGACCCTTAAGCGTAAAATAAATCACAACTTCTTATTTAAATAACACAGTACCATGCAAAATTCACAAATTAAGAGCTTCTAAGGAGTGTCTTTAAATACAAAAATGCAAACTTTTGCTTAAAAATCCACCAGTGCTATGTGTATTACTCTTTACTTTACCTGTTTAAGCCATGCAAAAGGTTTAATCAAAGTCTCCCTTTAACAAATACAGCATTTGAAGGAAAAAAAAAAAAAAAGCCAGAACAAATGCCTAGACAAAAAAACCCCACAGGTTTTGATCTTTCTCACTGAATCTATTTAGCACGGTATTTACCCATCTGAGCAGAGGTATGCGGGGGTCTAAACACCACATCTGTGTTACCCTTCTCCAGGAGACTCATCCTTGCTGTGGGAAGGAGCTCTTATCTGCGATTTGACATTGCCCCTTGGAGGTCTCTAACCATGCTCATGCCCTTGAACCGTGATGCTGTCGTTGTGGAGGGGCACAGCTAAGGACAAATATCAGCTCTTTTACCAGCCTCCACAGGCAGCCGCTGCTGTGATGCTGCAGCAGGTATGTGATGGGGAATGTGTCTGGCGGGAGGGCTCACGTGTCGGGAGCGGGGCTGTCGCCGGGTCACCCAGGGAAGTCCTGTCCTGCGCCCGCGTGTGCTGCATGCTGTGCCTGGGTGGAATAAGCGAGAGATCATGGCCCAACTGCAAATGCACGAAGGAGTCATGAATCTCATGCTCAATGCAGGGAGCTTGCGCCGCACTAACAGGGTTTAAGACAAGAAAAGTGTGAAACTAGGAAAATGAGTATGGCAGGACATGCTGGGACTATACAGTGCTGCAAGTTGGGATAGTAGAATTGCCCTTGGATCATAGTGTACAGATTTGAGGGTAGCAGTGGTTTATTATCTCATTAGAAACATCTAATTCCCTGTAATAAAGATTGCATGTAGAGTATGTCAAAGAACAGACAAGGCTATTACAACCCACAGTCAGGGCTAATGCTTTTTTCCCCCTCTTATTGCTAAATAGGCAGGAGCAGCTTTTCAATTTCAAAATAAAAACTATATAATTACAGTAATAATACCATGCTACTGACTGCTCTGCAGCTGCATATTGTAAAACTCAAAGCCACTGATCAGAAACAAAAGCAGTAAGTCAGTAACAGCTTTACAGAAATGTTCTGCTGGGGTGATTATGTCTGTCAAAATACTTCTATAAGGGAAAGACTGATTACTGAACATATTTCATGTCCCTTTCCCCCTAAAAAACGCTGCAAGTGCTTGCATCTTTTCCTAACAACAGATAAAGAAACCTTTGCCAGAGGTGTAATTAAGACTATATGAACACTGGAACAAGCACGCATCCCGTTCAAATAGTTAAGCATCAGTTACAACAAAAAGCCAGAAGCAGTCATATTTTTATCATCCGTTATAAAAAAATATTTCCCAATCAGTGTTTCAATAGAGTTAAAAGTTAAAAACCCTCTACATTACTAATAAATTAAAAACCCCATATCTTCAACCATCTTGTAAGAAAGTAGGTAAGTAATTTAAACCTTTAGTTTACATAAATTAGCACAGAAATGTGTATTTGAACAAGTGCACTGAAAACAGATATGCCTTCTTTTCTTGTGGTATCTCTTATTTGAGTTATTAAGTAACAGGAAAGCCTTTATATTCTTTGCATGACCTTGAGAGTCTGCTAACACTTAAGTGGTCAATAGTCAAACCCCAGGAGAATGTTTCACCAGATAGACAATGACAAGAGGGAGCATGAAGTACAGTCAAATGCTTTGCAGCCTTATTACAGTAGACTTCAACATTCAATTTCAGCATATTTACTCTGGGGAAAGGATGAAGGTAATATCTTTATACTGCAAATCACATGAGTGAAATTTGATGGGTTGATAGATTTTCTTTTTTTAAACCTACTAAAGTATCATTTTTTCAGAGGTAGTTTGCAAAGCAATAGTGATGTACATGAGTGGAAACAACACTCCTTTGCTTGACTGTGGATAAAACTCTTAAATACTGTTGGTGCTGTCCCTGAACCTCACAGAGAACGCTTAATGGATAAGATGTTCTAATCAGAGCTGACAACAGCCAATTAAGTGTCAGAAGAACAATCTGATAAGTAGGTCTTCATGTCTATAGGCATTTCCTGATATGTCTTAACTGTCAATCTGAATGTTAAACATCTCTATCTTTATCTCATTATTGACTGATTCATTAAAGGAGAATGCTTTCATCTCTTTTTTTGACTTTGGGGTTGCTCCAGAAAGAAGGAAAGGAAAATACTAGGAACGACTCTTAATTTGGAATAATAGATGGGGAATCCTAATTATAAGAAAGTCCTAATCTTCCAACTGAGCAGGTGTATGGTTTGGTGACACCACTACCATGCAGCTGCCCACACCATACCTTTCAAGAAATGGTAGATGCTCAGTCTAGAGGAGATCTGTTTCTTTAATAGGTGGAAGGATATCTGTGGACGTGCTAACAGGCTGCTCTCTGCTTTCAGTGCTTCTTGCTAGTCATACAGAAGACAACACCTCGCTGGATGGATCTCTTCCCTTCTTGTCCTCACCCCTGTCGATATCAATCACATGAACTATGCCGGGCTTCAGGATCAGGTCATCGGTCTCTACATGGCTCCTGTTATCGTCCACCTCGATGTACTTCCCTTTGGATGGCTGGGTAGCCTTACTGAAGACATCTTTAAAACGGCGCTTGAGTTCAACATCTGGGCAATAGACGTACTCATAAAGAGCACCAGCAAGGACTGCTCCTATTATTGGTCCCACCCAATACACCTGCAAAAAGAGGTGGAAAAAAGACAGGCATTGAGCTCTAGAGCAAATAAAGCAGCCAGGGTCTCAGAGAAAAGCATGTCACTACAGGCTTCACCCAGAAGTTTCTGCACAATGCCCTGGCCCTCTCCAGAAATGCATGGTCACATAGTTCTCTGGCTTTCACGAACCGGGATGAAATCTGCCATCATACCAGTTTATGAGGCAGAGCAGTGTAACTACCGTAGGTTTCACAGATGGTGACCTGGAGCTCAGCAATTAAGTGACTGCTCTAAAATCACATACGAAGTTGGTCAAAAGGCAGTCTCTTAGGCAGTTAATGGCATTAGTCCTAGATAAATTTTTTTTTCTTTCTGCCTCCTCCCAGTCTCTCTCTCTCACATCTCTTCACCCCCTTCAGAAATACTCCCTAGTCACCTTGAATCCAGTCATCTAAACCACCTCACACCCGTGGGTGCAGCTCTTCCCTAAAAACTCCTCTCATGACAGCGTTTAGGGAATCACCAGGCAGTGGACCCCACAGAGCAGAGGAGAAGAGGGACCTATGCTGACATGTCAGTGAGGCAGAGTTACTACTTCCCTGATGCCCGAAAAAGATTTCAGTCTACATGTCTGGTTACCAACGTTCTGGGGCAGACCGGCTGAGCGGCAGTGAAGCTATGGACACCTCCCATGGACAGACACACAGACATCCTCTCTGGCTGCCCCACCTCCTCCTGTTAGTAGAAGGCAGCTTTTTTCACCTCTTTATGGAAGATTTAACTTTTTTTTGTAAAATTTGTCCAATAAGATAAAAGTACAGGTTCTTCATCATCCTTATTTGGATCAACCATAGCTATAACATTTCTTGAGACAAAAAAGGCCACAGATCCTGGTGGAGTCACGTATGACTTGTCAAATACAGCTCTGTAGTCACATAAAACATATAGTTGCTCTGGCATAGCTTTGCTTTTAAACTAGCAGGGGTAAGATGATTGAGAAGCAGGTCCACATCTTCAAAGAGAAATAGTTTTGTCAAGTTTTATTGATCCATCTCTTTCCAAGAGGCCTCCTCTAAATTTTCATCGCTCAATGCCAGCTGTAGATAACATATATAGACTGTTTGCAAGATGACACACAAAATAAACACCAATGTAGAAAACTGATTTTCTTTCTGCATTTTCACCCAAGGTGACAATGAACTTTTGAGGAAACAAAACCTTTCCTAGTGTAGACACAAACAGTTCTACTTCAGTATTTCAGACTCACATTTCCAAAATAAACCAAATTTGGCTTCTGATCCCGCAGAATCCAACAAGCAGTCAGCTACCTGATGATCTAATTTGAATAAGCAAATACAACCGACATCCACAACTTTGTAGGGTACCTATCCATTTCAGTATGACATGCAGCAGTTCTGTAACATTAGTAGGTGCAGAAGCCCATGGGCTTCTGTCAATGGCATGCCAACGTCACTGCTCTGGAGGAGGAGAAAAGGCCGTCTTTCCAAGTGACCAGGACAGTAGCTAAGCTTCTCCTAAAAGTTTCTCCACGGTACATTTCTTTATTGTTTATAGCTTTAGTTACAAATTACAGGCTCCCTCAGAGTATGGATAATTAATCTTATGAAAAACTACAGCAGTTTTTCGTACGAACAAGCCATTCACTGATAACTGGGTAAATCTGCCTCAATAGGATAACTCTTGGGAACAAAGTTACACATGGTATTGTGTTTGCAGAATTGGAGCCTTAGGGCCTGAAGACAATGCTATTTCTGTTATTAGCTGCAGTGGGAGGAATGTGGGCTTCATAGTTTAAAAATCAAGAAAATCCTTATATGCACTGTAATATGCAGCTCTTACAGTTAGCATTGAAAGTGTTCCTAGGAGTGCTTCAATTAGGTGAGGCCGAGCTGCCATCCATCTCTCCCTTATAAAATGTGAATTGTTTTTTAATAAGTTTAATAGTGGGATGCTATAGAAAATGACTGCATCATTCACAATCTGTTTATCAAATTGTTTCCTGCGCAAATACTCCTAGTTAAGTTGACGCTTTCAAATTGAAGCAGGTAACATCTGGTCTGGTCTGCAAAGACCAGGTTGTACCCCCTTCATCTCTCACTGCGGGCATTTCCCGAGGCAGGTTCTCCCCCGGGAACCAGATCACAGAGGGTCCCTGCTCTCATTTTATACGTCTGCCCCAGTTTGCTGCAGAACCAGGTGAAACGTCAAGCCGCAGAATTACTTCCATAACTTCTCACCAGCGTGACTGGGGGGGTTTGCAATACGCCTCGGAGGATTTTCCTTTCTAGCAGTTCAATTCTTTCAGTCTCGCTGGATTGCTTCTTTTTTTTTTTGTTTTGAACTTTTTGTATGATTTCCTTTCTACCCCAACTACTACCTCCACAAAACAGCCCCTGAATAGCAAGCCGCTATTCCAACGCGCTGCATACTGCACCGCAGTCCTAAGCGAGGAGCTTAATTATACCAAAGCTTGTGGCAGGTCAGCGCCTGTCTTCTTCAGTGACGGTCTCTATGGGACGTACGGGGATAGACAACTAAAAGCAAATGATGTATGAAAAATCCCGATAGCTGTTGGTCGCTATGGTGGAGGAAGCATGAAAGCAGAGTTACCCATTGGTTTTCCCATCTCCCCATGATGACAGCAGGTCCAAATGATCGAGCGGGGTTCATACTGGCACCGGTGTAATTGATCTAAAGCAGAGACAAATTATTACCTGTTATTAAAGTCTTGAAGATAGTTACTCCATTTCTGCTAGTCCTTGTACTATGGGGACACCCTGGTTTTGCATGGCTTCTAATCTTGATAGCAAGTATTGTCACTCTCCTAAGTCTTACCACAAAATTAAAAAAGTCATCACATAAACAGGCAGAAAACCTCTGATGCAACACCTTACCCAAGGAGACCCTCCTGCTACTCCAAAGGGGTTTGGCGTGGATCCATAAAGAATATAGCAGCTACATAGCTATAGCAGCTATAAAGGCCACAGAAGTTTCCATTTACTTCTGAAGTAGTCATAAAGGGACAAGGGGTCTATTTTTCAAAAAAAAAAAAGGGGTCTATTTTCAAAAGAAAAGCCATTAACTTACAGCAAATAAATGTCCAATTGCAACAGAAAATCCAATTGCTAAAGCTACTGAACCAGTGACATCACTTCGTTTTGAATCACAGCTGGCAAAAATAGTAAAAACCAGCTGGAATGTAATTATCAACTCCACCAGGAGTCCATGGCCAGCGGAAAGATCCCCATGTACCTGGAAGAAGGGAAAAAAACACCGGAGATGAAACAAAGGTGATTTGTAAATCAGAAAGCCACCACATACACTAATTGTATTTCAATGAAAGGTATTTCTAAATAGTACACAGTGAAAGACAACAATGAAATTTAGAGGTACAGGTCCCACACACTTCCCCCCCCCCCCCTTTTTTTTTTTTTTTTTTTTATTTTGAGAGCCATGGAAAATTACTGCTGGACTGAGAACAGAAGGCTTAACGGTAACATCCAACACGAACTTCAAAGTTAGACTGCAGAAGTATAGTTTATTTTTACACAGGGATTTGCAAATGCTGCACTTCCCCTTCACCATTTTTTTTCTTGGGAGCACTGTAATTTACTATTCAATTATAAATTCATTAATTAGCCCTGACTTAATTAATTTAAATTTCAATTAAAAATTAAGCAGTGTGCGGCTCAAGTGCATTTTTAATAAGTCCTGCAACAGGGCTAACTGATGGCATTCCTTATTAGTTTAGAACAAAGCTGAAATCTAAGCCACAATCTATTTCAAAAGTATGTCATTTTAAATTGATGTTTTTTCAACCCCCATCATAATGGCACAGAATTAATTTCCCGCTCCCCAGCCCATATAAAAATGGCATTTCACACATATATTATTTAAATTTTGTATGTAAATTAACATTACCTGCTGTCATCAGATTTGGGGAAGTTCTAGGAAAGAGAACTTCTATAAAAAGAACAGCTATAGATATTACGCTGCACAAACCAATCCTAAGGAGAGCTGTAAGCCCTGTCTAGATGTTGTAAATAAACCAGCAAGCTCTTAAAATCTCTCTATTCTGCGTGACACTGATTATATTTTCTTAGGCTCTAAGCTAGTCTAGTTCAAGAGCCGGAGGAGAAGTGATTACCGCAGTGACTCCCAGGCCTCCCACCACACTTGGGGGTGTGACGAGGTAAAGGATGCCTGCGCCCACGATGGCTCCCAGGCACTGGGCAAGAATGTAGAAGACGGACTTGGCGAGGCTGATCTTCCTCGTGCAGACCATTGCCACGGTCACAGCAGGGTTAATGTGGCCTCCGCTGATGTGTCCAAAGCACTGCACCATGGTTGCAATGCTGAGTCCAAAGCAGAGGGAGATAAGGACCATGTCTACGGGCAGGGGCTTCTCTGCTCCACCCCAGTTGATCGTGGAGCCAAGGCTGAGGAGGACAAAAATGAGCATGGCCAAAAATTCTGCCGAAACGGCTTTCCAGAAGGGCTGAGTCCAGACTCCTTTAAACGCCACCATGATGCTCTCACACTTACACAGACGTCCACACTTACTGAAAAGGAAAACAAAGCTTCATCAGAAGTCACCAAATGAGCCTTACGCTCTCCTGTTAGGGGGCTGCTATCCAGCAGACTTTGGAGAGAAGGCAGCAATGCTGAGTATCCTTGGGCTGGGACAACCACAGACTCAGAGAAGGCTGCCCTTAAAACATGAGCGGTGTTCAAGTGTCACAGGGTAATTAATCAACCCTTGTGATAAGTCTGTCTGTATAACTTCAGTTCACAAAAAGCAACCTCTGTATCTTTTGAAATAAGTGAGCATGAAAATAAGTGTATTCTCCTACACTAGCTGCCTTCTGCCTGCCTTAGAGTCTGTACAGCCCTACCACTTCCAGTGGCCTCTTGACCATCATGCTCATTAAATCAGTGGGTATCCTCTTTTTCTAAGCAAATCTGTACTTTTCACAAAGCAGGTACGATACTGCTTGATACTGAATTATCTCAGTCAAACCCTAATGGTTTTGACAGCAGTGTAGTGTTGGGAGGTTGCCCTGGGAGCTGTAAGAGAAAGTCTATTTGTTTGAACACTCACACAGACCAATATTTCAATTTATATTTATGCAAAGGGCAGTTTCTTCACTGTGGGTGTAGGGTAAAAATTGAATTCAGCCAGGAGAATAGATGCAATCCTAAATTCTGACCTTTAAATCAATCATGCAATCAATAAAGTACTTTCTTTTGGGCTAAGGGTGCCGAGTAAGCTGTGGAATAGAGCAATATTTTCTGTATGTGTGGTGTGTAGAACTCTGTGGGGCAAAGAAAGAAGTGTCTTGATTTTCCTCGCTGTCTGGAGGTGCTATTTGTTAGTCTACACTGCCTTCCTGATGAGTTACAATTTTGCTAGATGTTCAGATACCTATGAAAGTGGGTCACCAAAGAAAAGTTATTTGTGGTATTAATAAATTAGGAGAATAAGCCAAAAGGGAAGCATTTTAATGAGTTTCTAAGGAATGCTAACAAGATTCTTCTCTAAAAACAAAAGCAAAAAACCCTGCAACTCCTCCAAAAAGTAGAAAACAAAAGAAAGACTACTCAGCTGCTACATTTGGGAACAGAATTTCAAGTGGAAGATGGATGAATTTATGCTCAGTTATCTAAGGTAACTGAGCTACAATGCATATTTAATACCACTTACATCACAAAGAAGCATAAAAGGCATGTCTGCCCTTTTCAAGTTATTGTAAGAGGAATGGCCCATGAATTTCTTAACAGTTGCAGTGAGTTAGGGAAAGGCAATTTAATGCTGCGACTGGAGCAAATAATTTGTTTCCCTGTCTCATTTCTGATGCTAATTTACTGTGTATTTTGGATAGGTCATTTGAACTCTATCTCAGTTCTCTAGACTGTCAGATGAGAACCAGAATTATATTATCTCCTGCAAATGGCTGTTGTAAAGTGTTTGTGAAGTGATCTGAGAGACTTGAGTGGGACTTGAGCTCTGCTAGAGAAGAATTGAAGCCAGACCTCAAAAGAGAATAAAGTCATCCCCAAAATCTTCTGATTTTGGGTCAAACTGAAGGAGAGAAATGGAAAGATGTTTTTGTAAGATCTCATATTAACAGTCAGTTAATGACCAACTATCTAGACTTTTTGTTCAAAATGGCTCCAAAATCATTGCCTCCCCCAGTGCTGAAGCTCACAGGTATTTGGTCGTCCTTACCTTTGAACCATATGCCCAGATTCTCACTGAAACCTAAAGGCTTACCTCTGACACCCTTACTACTTCCTCACTAATGATTTATTTTAGTGGCCTGAGTAAGACACAGGTGCTATATCCATACTGAGAAAAGCTCATTTTCCCAGGGCATGTCCTAGGTGAACATTTCATGTAGGGATGAAGCATACCGTGAAGCCCATGGAAAAGAAACCTGGATGCACAGACAAGGGAAGTGGCACTCATCCACCCTTTCACCCCCAGCTCAGTTGGGATGCAACCTGGATTTCCCTGAGCTTTCGCTTGTTAAGCAAAATGCAAGCCCTGGTGTTATATTCCAGACTTCTGCAAAATTTCCAACCACTAAGGGCACTATGGAGGGAATGTAGGTTTTTGGAGCATGGGGGAGAGGGGTATGGTGACTCCTGACTTCTTTGTCCGAGTATGCCTGATCATCTCTTTCTGTATGCAGAGAATAGCGAGATCTGCAACTTAATTACATTCCTTCATCCTGTAGAAGTGGACAGAAAAGGGTGTTTGTATTTGGTATTAAAATTGTGCAGTTAGCTTCCCTCTAGTTGTGGAACATCTTGGAAGAACACATTAAGAGTCAGTTTGTGTGCACGTGCACGCACGTATGCAAGAGAGAGACAGGGAGGATCCAGAAGATCACACCTTCTACTGAACTGCTGACGGGCCTGTCTAGAAGGAGGCTACCACTTACTAAGGGCAGATCTCATACTGCTTCTCCAGCTGAGACCATGTCCAATCAATTCAGTCAATATTATTTATAGCCCTGAAAATGCAAAAATGCTGCGTGCAAGCCAAAAGCATAACTCAAACACAGAAACTTGCTCAGAAGCTTCTAAAACAGCATGCTACATGGAAAAAAATCAAAATGGTAGAACTACACTGTCAGCCATACTCTGACAGTTAATGATCTAAACATCTATTTTTAATGCACACATGTTTTTCTGAAGCAGTTTCTTTTTCTATGATTTCAACACCCAGCAAAATGCCCAGCTGTCATGGCCAAATTTTTCTTTAAAACTGCACACCTTTCTTCCCTACAGCAAAAAACCCCTACAAATGTTAATGAAAGCTTAATACTGTGTTTGAGCCCTGAGTCCAGGTTTTCACTTAAATCCAAAGGCTATCAGCAACTTAGAAATCAACACCATCTCCAACATCCACTATTTTTTCGGCATGCAGTTAATTTAAAGGCTTGAGATGAGACAGAGTGATGGCTGTGCCAGGTCTGAATCCGACACGTGACTTTCCAGCAGATAAGATTTGCCATCAAAGCTGCAAAACAATTTTTGGAGCAGTTCTCGTTCATGGTTGTCTTAGATAAATACAAAATACAAGGGAAAAACAGAAAGACAATTTCATGTGATGGTCACACATTAATTTCACATGTGGCCACACTTGAAATTCTCTGGTCTGGACTACAAGATTACACAGTGGACTGTGCCTGAGAGGATGCAAGGTGGGTTTTTACAGGTCACGTTGCCATCAGGGCTGCAGGCATGATTACGGCTTCAAAGCCATAACAATACAAGTAACAACAAAGGCTTCAGTACAGAAGTCAAATGGTATTTTTAAAATTCTTCCTTTTCTAACTACTATCGTTTCAAGGAGCAGAGCAAACAGCCTGGACGTGGGCTTGCAGCCAGCCACTCCACACGACACCGCTGTCGCACAGAAGTTTTGTGCGTGCAGCAGCTATTTACAGTGGCATCTCCGCAGCAAACCCAGCTACTCCCTGACCTGCGCTGGCACAGCCAGCTGTAGCTCAAATGGACATCAGGCACCCCCTTGCCAACTTGGGGAGAGGAGGGGGACAAGCTACGGTTCCCAAACAAATGTACTATCGCAGGGCTTGCTTATAACCATTTTGCCTCATTTTCCAATACGATGTTGAATGAGCGACTGACATGGATAGCTACAGGAGGTGGGAAGGGGAGGCTTGGGAGTCCAGCAGCAGAGCTTTTTGGCTGTGCTGGAGTTGGGCTTTCTGCACACATGCCTCCCTGTCGCAGGACCACAAGTGGAGAACAAAACAAAGTTTTAGGGTGCGGAAAAGAAGGGGGTTTGCAACTCTCTGCCCCCCTTCGCACCTCTGGTGTTAAAACCCAAGGACGACGGACAGGCTCCGTTAGTACCTTCAGGGAGGGGGAGCCCGGTGCCCGGGGAGCCCGGTGCTCTGGGAGCCATCCCTCGGTGCAGAACGCCGGGCAAAGGCAGCTCGC